GAGGCGGAATTGCCCTGCCCTTGTGAGTCCGGGCTAAGCAAGCTGCTCCGGTTTGCTCTCAGGAGATTTGGTTCCCTGCAAAATCTCGGTACAGCTTTGGAGGACCAGGGTGAAAATGGTGGCCTCCCAATCTCCGCCCGGAGGAGGTGAGAACTTGGGGCCCCGCTCCTCAGTGTGCCTCCAGAGAAAAGCAGTCACTCCCGTCTCCCTGGTCTCTGGCTGCACTCCGTGCTCACCAGCCTGTGACTGAGTGTTTCTATGTCTGGCACCCCACCCCGTGTGGATTCTCCAAACCCAGCAGATCCGTGCGGTGCACTTCCGTGCTGCTCCTTCCAGGGGAGGAAGGGGAGTCTCCCCGGCTCTGCCGCTTGTTGGGTCCCTGCTGGAGGAGCAGTAGCCCGACTGGGCCGCGGATCACAGTTTATGGCAACCCCGAGCTGAGAGCCCATGCCTCGGCTCCGTCTCTGCAGCTGGCTTTCCCGCTCCGATACCTGAGAGCTCTGCCGCACTCAGGCACCCCTGGTCTTTCTGTGACCCTGAGGGTCCTGAGACCACACTGTCCCGCGAGGGTTCCACCCCCCGCTTAGCCACTGGAGCGACGTCCCTCAGTGGAGCCGACTTCTAACAGTTCCGATTTTGTGCTCCGTGGCTCCACCACTCACCAGAAGCGGCCGACGGAGGCCCCCTCCCCCGCCGTCTATCCTCCTGAATATCACCTCAGATTCACTTCTCCGCATGTCCTACCTTCCAGAAAGTGGTCGCTTTTCTGTTCAGAGTGTTGTTACTATTCTTATCTTCGATCTCCTGTTGAGTTTGTAGGTGTTCAGAATGGTTTGATCCCTATTCAACTGAATTCCTGAGACTAGATGAAATCCAGGTCTCCTACTCCGCCATCTTGCTCCATCCCCCCACCATCAACATTTTTAACAGAGCTGGAGCAAACAATCCTAAAATTTGTATGGAACCAGAAAAGACCCCGAATAGCCAGAATAATGTTGAAAAAGAAAACCAAAGCTGGTGGTATCACAATGTCAGACTCAAGCTGTATTACAAAGCTGTAATCCTCAGTTGCATATAATGCCCAGTGCTCATCACAACATGTACCCTCCTTAATACCCTCACCTGGTTACCCCAACTAATGAATTGTTGAACACTACATCAAAAACTAATGATGTACTATATGGTGACTAATTGAACATAATAATAAAAAATTAAAAATTAAAAACAAGACAAAACAAAACACAAAGCTGTAATCCTCAAGACAATATGATACTGGCACAAAAACAGACACGTGGATCAATGGAACAGAATAGAGAACCGAGAAATAGGCCCTCAACTCTGTGTCAACTAATCTTTGACAAAGTAAGAAAGAATATCCAATGGAAAAAGGGCAGTGTCTTTAAAAAATGGTGTTGGGAAAATTGGACAGCCACATATAGAAGAATGAAACTGGGCCATTTCCCTACACCATACACAAAGATAAACTCAAAATGGATGAAAGACCTCAATGTGAGACAGGAATTCATCAAAATCCTAGAGGAGAACACAGGCAGCAACCTCTTTCACCTTGGCCATAGTAACTTCTTGCTAGACACCTCTCCAAAGGCAAGGGAAACAAAAGAAAAATGAACTATTGGGACTTCATTAAGATAAAAAGCTTCTGCACAGCAAAGGAAACAGTCAACAAAACTAAAAGGCAACCTACTGAATGGGAGGAGATATTTGCAAATGACATATCAGATAAAGGGCTAGTATCCAAGATCTATAAAGAACTTATCAAACTCAACACCCAAAGAAAAAATAATCCAGTCAAGAAATGGGCAGAAGACATGAACAGACACTTCTCCAAAGAAGACGTACAAATGGCTAACAGACACATGAGAAAATGCTCCACATCACTTGGCATCAGGGAAATACAAATCAAAACTACAATGAGATACCATACCAGTTAGAAAGGCTAAAATTAACAAGACAGGGAACAAGTGTTGGTGAGGATGTGGAGAAAGGGGAACCCTCCTACACTCTTGGTGGGAATGCAAGCTGGTGCATCCACTCTGGAAAACAGTAGGGTGATTCCTCAAAAAGTTAAAATTAGAGCTATGCTATGACCCAGAACTAGCCCTACTATGTATTTACCCCAAAGATACAAATGTAGTGATCTGAAGGGGCACCTGCACTCCAATGTTTAAAGCAGCAGTGTCCACAATAACCAAACTATGGAAAGAGCCCAGATGTCCATCAACAGATGACTGTATAAAGAAGATGTGATATATATATACCATGGAATACTACTCAGCCATCATAAAGGATGAAATCTTACCATTTAAATTGAAGTGGATGAAACTGGAGGGTATTATGCTGAGCAAAGTAAGTCAATCAGAGAAAGATAATTATCATATGGTTTCACTCATATGAATGTTATAAGAAACAGTGCAGAGGATCATAGGGGAAGGGAGGGAAAAACAGAATGGAAAGAAATCAGAGAGGAAGGAAAACCATGAGCCGACTCTTAACTATAGGAAAGAAACTGAGGGTTGCTGGAGGGGAGGTGGGTGGGGGAATGGGGTAATTGGTAATGAGCATTAAGGAGGGCACGTGATGTGATGAGCACTGGTGTTATATGCAACTGATGAATTATTGAACTCCACATCTGAAACTAATGATAGTTTATATGTTGGCTAATTAAATTAAAATATAAATTGGGGATGAAATGGCCACGGCAGGGTGGTGGAACACAAGATGGTTCTGTACATTTAACTTAATATTTTATCAGGTACACATCCCCTGGTATTAAGTGTTCTTCAAACACATGTTTAAAAAGCTGCCTGATTCCATCATGTGATATTTTGTGGAGTAGTGGGAACAGAGATATTGAACAGTTAAGACTGTTTTTGTATTTTCATATAATAAATAATATTGTAATGAACATCTTTGTGAATAAGTCTTTGTGTTCATCTATTATTTATTTAGGATATTTTTATGGATTGAATTGTGTCTGCCTCTCCCCCACCAAATTAACATATTGACATTTGAATCCCCAGTACCTGATAATATGACCTTATTTGGAAATAGGGCTGTTGCAGATGTAATTAGGTAATATGAGGTATTATGGGAGTAGGGAGGGTCCCTAATCCTATATGATGCTGACCCTTCAAAAGAATGACATGAGGAGACACACAAGCACATAGGGGAATTCCATGCATACCAAGATTGGGGTTGTGCTGCCACAAGCCAAGGAAATACCAGAAGTTGGGAGAAAGGCCTGGAACAGGTCTTCCCCTAGTGCCTTTGCAGGGAGCATGGCCCTGTGGACAACTTCACTGTGAACTTCTGGCCTCTAGAACTGTGAGACAATTTCTGCTGTTATAAGCCACCCAGTTTGTGGTACTTTGTTATGACAGTCCTAGGAAACTAACAAGGATACACTCTTGTACAAATGGTATATATACATATATATACATATACATATACATAGATGTATTAGGTATGTTTATATATATGTGTGTGTATATACTACAAACATGGCAGCAAATTCAAATATATTATTTTCTTTAAATTTGTACAAATGGTAACAGCCTGTATACAATGTCTGCCCCCTATCTTTTCTTTCCATCAAAAATATATCCTGGGGGATGTCCATATCATTACACAAAGAGATTCCTTGTTCTCTTTAGAGCTGTACTACATTCTATCCTTTGAATAATATGTTGATTTAGCCGGTATTATATTGATAGATATTTTGATTGTTTCCATTCTGTTGTCATCACAAAGCATGTTGCAGTAAATAAGCTTATACACATCACATTTCTTGTGTGCACAGGCATATCTGCAGGACAGAGGCTCAGAAATGGAATTATTGAGTAGTTTGTATATTTGGCAGATACAAATTGCCCTCTCTACAGGCTGTATCAACGGACACTCCCAGGAGCACTAAATGGGGGTGGAGCTAAGATCTGAGCTTAGGTTGTCTGGATTGGAATCCGTGATTGTCATCTTTCAGCTCTGCAATGAAAAGGGCCTCTCCTGGTCCTGTCCAGGACAGCCTTTCAGGAGAAAACTACTGTGAACTTGTTATTTTCTTGGTTGTCTAAGCTGCTTTTTTCCCCTAATGGCCAAAGATTCCATTCAATCATGCTGGGTTTAGACTCCACCTTGTGGCTTGGTACTCCCACTTTTTTCCAGAGGCCACATGGATCAACATGGACACTGGCAACAGGACCAACATTCAAAACAGATGAACATAGGGGAAGGGAAGGAAAAATAAAATAACATGAAAATAGAAATGGAGGCAAAACATAAGGGACACTGAACTCTAGGAAACAAACTGAGGGTTGCTGGAGGGGAGGTGATGGGTTAATTGGGTGATGGGCATCAGGGCACGTGATGTAAGGAGCACTGGGTGTTATATGCAACTGATGAATCTCTAAACTCTACCCCTGAAACCAATAATATGGTATATGGTAACTAAATTGAATTTAAATGAAGAATAAAAGAAAAGGTAACCCCATGCCCTTTACCTCTCACACTCTCCCCATTCAGTCTCCCCTTGGCAACCGCATCCCGAACCGTTAATCTACTTTCTCACTGTACGGATTTGTCTATTCTGATGATTTAATATTAATAGAATAAATTAAAAAAAGGACCAACATTCAAATTTACCACCTTTTTTTTGGTTACTGTTCTTCCTCTTTCTTAAAATGCCTAAGGCAGAAAATACAAGGCCCCATACTGAGACCCTGGTGATGTTGCACAGCTGAGATTTCTGGTAGACCCGAGTTTGGCAAGGCTGGGTCAGCTCCAATCCTGCTTGCTGGATTTGGAGTTTCTGTATTGCCAAGCCTCCCCCCTCATCTGACTCCAGCCAGTGACCCCTGGTCTGCAGAGTGAAATCTCCCTTACCCCTAAGGCTTTGCCCTCCTTCAAAGCTCTCCGGACAGGTTGCTCACTCACAGATGGTTTCAAACCTGGTGGGTTCACAGGAAGTAGGTGTACTTGGGGCTGGTTGCTTGGATACAGGGCCACCTGACACATGCCTTCTTGGGTCGCAGGATAGCTGTTGTGGGGTGCCCGCACAAACACAGAATTGTCCATGGGTCCTGCTGAAGCCATCGGATCCATGCTGCTAAAACACAAATGTGATAGACTCGTCTCTCACATAGTCACTGATGTTTATATTGAAAAAGGACTTCTGCCTCCAGTAGCTCATTTGAGCATCTTAACCTATTTATTAATGCCATTGATTAATCTCATTTTATTTTTTTATGTGTTTTTTGCTTTATTTAAAAAAGATGACTATTCCATTCTACAGAATAAGATTTACACTCAGGCAAAATCAAACTGTGGGCAGATTAATCTCATTTTAGAGATACTATGACATACCAGTTATGGGACACTTATGAAGTGTCAGGCAGTCAGAGCTTTACAAACACATCTCCTTTCATCCTCACCCTGGATGAGCTTTATAGGTGAGAAAAGTAAGGCTCAAAGAAGCTAAACTCTGCCAGAAGCCAAGGGCTGTGTCTTTCTCGTTTTTGAATCTCTCATAGTACTTAGCATGGTACTTTGCATATAGTAATACCATCTGATTACACAACTTCAGAGGTGGAAAGTCTTTTGGAGTACTTTGAGTCCAATTCTCTCAATTTCTAGAAAAGGAAGCTGAGGCTGGGAAAGTGGACATGAATTTCCCAAGGTCCCAGTCACATAAATATTAGTTAAATGGGGATCATCCTCCTCAGGAGAAGCCCTGTTGCTAGTGGCTGTTACGGACTTTGGGTGTCCAATTTTCTAGGCTACTTATGAATTCTGGTCTGGTTTTTAAAATTTCCTTTCTTTTTTGGAGCAGACCCTAAAAAACTTTGTACAATAAACCCTGCCACATGCCCCACCCCACACCCATATTCATCATATCTCATCTGGCAGAAAAATCTCATCACCATCCCTCCAATATTCATAAAAACCATTAGACTATACATACTCACTTTGCTCTGCCAGCAGCTAAGGCTGTCTTGCTCCTGTTCCCAATTCTTTGCTGTAGGCAACCCAGTTTCCTGAAAGAATGAACAAATGAGGCTCTGTTGGGTGCTATGTTCAGAAAGATCCAAAGTCCTCTTCACTTTCTCCTAGGTGCAGGCCAGCTCACCGACTGCTTGAGCTCAGCTTCCCCTCCTATATTTGCTTCCTGTTTTGGCCAAGGCGCCAGTTAAATGCAATTCAATTGGGCAGTATTTAATGGTATCTGTGTGGAGAAGAAAGTGTTGTGCTTAATGCTCTTGGAGACATGGAATGAACCAGGCACTCAGGGGTAATGTACGTGGCTGTAACACAAGACAGAATGACATAAATGCTACAGTTAGAGAAACAAGGCTCCCCAAAGGAGAAGAGAAACTGATTTACTGGATTTGAAGAAGGGGAAGGTGGAATTTTGAAATCAGTAAACTGCACGAGAAAAAGGGAGTCAGCATGTGAAGTGAGAGTTGCAATTAACTTAAGTCTAGTTTTATCTATGCCACACCATATAGGAAATCAGAAAACACCTGTGATGTATCCATGGTGTATATCATGTGACTTGCACAGGCAAAATGAACAAGAACTGCTGCACTAGGCAATGAGTATCTCGATGGAATAGCCCATCACATTCACCTTTGTATTCCTACTGACATATAACAGGCATTCAACAGATGCTTGTTGAATGAACAAATGAAGTTGATGGGATGGTTAGAACTTTGTAAAATGGTCAAAAGAAAGGACATTATTGCAGGCAGAGGGTATGGAGGGCAAAGGATGGAGGAAAGAGGTAAAGGATATATTTTGGGTATGGCTGAGAGTGGCAGAGCATTTTGCGGGAGAAGGACTTTGAAAGTAGTAAGGATGAAAAGGTAGATGGAGCCAAACGGCATGTCCTTACCCATTTTTCTATCACATTTCTGGATCTTTGTCTTTCGGTTTTCAAGAATCCTTTATATATTAGGGATATTAACTCTTCATCTGGGAATATCTTTTCTCCAAGTTTGACAACTGTCTTTTGACTTTGTTTATAGTGGTTTTTAATTATGTAAATGAAAAATTTATGTAGTAAAATTTATCAACCTTTTGTTACTGTTATAGATTGAATGTTTGTATCCCTACCCTGTTCCCCAATTCATATATTGAAATGTAACTCCCTAAGGGATGATTTTTGGAGATGGGGCCTTTGGGAAGTGATTAGGGTGGAGCCCTCATGAATGGGATTCATACTTCCTGTTTCTGTCATGTATGGGATTAATACCTTTATAACCTCAGAGAGTTCTCTAGCCCCTCTGCAATGTGAAGACACGGTAAGATGGACTATCTATGAACCAGGAAGTGGGCTTTCCCAAACACTAAATCTGCAGATGCCTTAATATTGGACCTCCCAGTCTCCAGACCATGAGAAATAAATACCTGTTGTTTAAGCCACCTAGTCTATGGTATTTTTGTTACAGCAGCCAAAACAGGGTAAGAAAATGACCTATGGAGTTGAGTCTTTATTAGAAAGCCTTCCCAACACTAAGACTAAAAAGGAATTCACCTGTGTTTTCTTCTAGTACTTGGATGGTTTAATTAGAAAAAAAATTCATAGATAATCCAATAAGCTTTATTTTTCCCTCCAACAGTTAAGTGTTTGGTGTCAAAGTACATTTTTCCTAACACAATGCTTCCTTTACCCAAACTATTAATTTCGTTTTTAAGAATAATACAGTATGTGATTAAGCTTTTTACATTTTTTAATTTAAATTCAATTAGCCAACATATAGAACATCATTAATTTCAGATGTAGAGTTCAATAATTCATCAGTTGCATATAACATTCAGTGCTCATCACATCACATGCTCTCCTTAATGACCATTACCAATTATCCCATCCCCTCACCACCTCCCCTCCAGCAACCCTCAGTTTCTTTCCTATAGTTAAGAGTCTCTCATGGTTTTTCTTCCTTTCTGATTTCTTTCCATTCTGTTTTTCCCTCCCTTCCCCTATGATCCTCTGCACTGTTTCTTATAACACTCATATGAGTGAAACCATATGATAATTATCTTTCTCTGATTGACTTACTTTGCTCAGCATAATACCATCCAGTTTCATCCACTTCGATTTAAATGGTAAGATTTCATCCTTTATGATGGCTGAGTAGTATTCCACTCTGTGTGTGTGTGTGTGTATGTGTGTGTGTATACACAACATCTTCTTTATCCATTCATCTGTCGATGGACATCTGGGCTCTCTCCATAGTTTGTCTATTGTGGACACTGCTGCTTTAAACATTGGAGAGCAGGTGCCCCTTCAGATCAGTATATTTGTATCTTTGGGGTAAATACTTAGTAGGGCTATTTCTGGGTCATAGGGTAGCTCTATTTTTAACTACTTATTTATTTATTTATTTATTTTTATTATGTTCAATTAGCCAACATATATTACATCATTAGTTTTTGATGTAGTGTTCAACGATTCATTAGTTGCATATAACACCCAGTGCTCATCACTTCATGTGCCCTCCTTAATACTCATCACCTGATAGGAAAAGTTAGTGAATGAATTACCTTCCCTATTGACCTAGAGAGAACTGAGTATCCTTAAAAGATTGTCTCTTTAGGCCAGCATTACCCTGACACAAAACCAGATAAAGATACTACAAAAAAAGAGAACTATAGAACAATATCTCTGATAAACATAGATCCAAAAATCAGCAACAAAACATTAGCAAACTGAATCCAACAATAATTTAAAAATTCATTCACACAATCAAGTGGGATTTATCCTTGGAATGCAAGGGTGGTTCAATATTTGCAAATGAATCAATGTGATACCTCACATCAACAGGAGAAAGGATAAGGACCATATGATCATTTCAATAGATGCATTAAGGAAATGCAAATCAAAATCACAATGAGATATCACCTCACACCTGTCAGAATGACTAAAATAAAAAACACAAGAAACAGTAAGTGTTGGTGAGGATGTAGAGAAAAAGGAACCCTCGTGCACTGTTGGTGGGAATGCAAGCTGGTGCAACCACTGTGGAATACAGTACACAGGTTCCTCAAAAAATTAAAAATAGAATTAGCATATGATCTTATAATTCCACTACTGGGTATTTACCCAAAGAATATGAAATCACGGTGCGCCTGGCTGCATAAGTCAGAAGAGCATGTGACTTTTGATCTCAGGGTTGTAAGTTCAGTCCTATGTTGGGTGTAGAGATTACTTAAAAAAAATAAACAAGAAAAAAAGAATATGAAAACGTTAATTCAAAAAGATATATGCACATCTATGTTTATTGCAGCCTTATTTTACAATAGCCAAACTATGGAAGCAACCCAGTTGTCCATCCATAGATGAATGGATGAAGATGTGATATATATATGCAGTGGAATATTACTCAGCCATAAAAGGAATGAAATCTTGCCATTTTCAACAACATGGGTAGGATCTAGAGGGTATAATACTAAGTGAAATAAGTCAGTCAGAGAAAGACAAATACCGTATGATTTCACTCATATGTGGAATTTAAGAAACAAAACAAAGGAACAAATATAAATATAGGGAACTGATGGTTGCAAGAAGGGAGGTAGCTCCAGGGTGGGGAGGGGGATGGTTGAAACAGGTGATGGGTATTAAGAGTATACTCATCATGATGAGCACTAAGTAATGTATAGAATTTTTGAATCACTATATTGTATACCTGAAACTAATATAGAATTATACTAAGTATATTTATATTAATATACTAGAATTAAAAAAATAAAAAAATAAAAAAAATAAAAGATTCAGTCTCCTTACACTGATTCCACCAATTCTGCATATGCTGATGGCTTATGTGTATCTTTGTGCCTACTTTTGTGCATTGTTGTACCATATGGGGTCCCAAAAGAAAACAAAAGGCAGTCTTAAAGTGTTTAGTTGTATATTAATGAAGGGACTATTTACAGAAGTGTGGGCAGAGTTATGGGAGCCAAAGGGGATGTTGACACATCTGTTAACTTCCCCTAAAGCTGTAAGGGACAAGAGGCAGGGACTGTGTAACTGTAGCAGCAAGAGCATAGCCAGGGATGTGAGCTGCCTAATTTGTCACAGCTACTGCCAAAATTGAGCAGAAAAGGGGAGGGTAAACTCTGTTTTCTCCTTCCTCCAGCTTTTCAACTTCACTGGCTGAACACCACTGGAAGGACAAGAACCAGGGAGTATAAATGATGCAGTCCACATAGGTCAGCCTCCCAGGGTACAGAGCTGGGCAGAGGGCTATGCTGGCTATCTCTCACCTGCCTCTCCAGATCTCCTCTCCATCCTTCTCTATTCTGTTGTGTCCCTGGAGACTAATATTTATATGGATTTCATCAACAGGCACCCTTGCTCTCTGGCTTCTGATTGGTCTCAAACCACAGGATGTCCTGTTAGGAAATTGGAGGGGAGAAAAGGCAAATGATTAATTCTCTGTTTCCTCCTTGTGCTTTTGCCAAGGGCTGGTGGGTTCCTTGACCATGGGTCACAACTGTCCAAGTGGCCCTGTGAGTTTCTTCTCCTGGGTCTGGGGAACCACACTTTTCACTTGCATATTCAGGCTTCCAGGATTAGGATTTGCTCCTGATCTTAACAACTTTGGGATATTATCCTATCACTTGTGGTTTCTCTATACCCTACCCACATTTTGTGGAAAGCCCCTGTATTAAATGTCCTCAAATTATCCCACTGGAATATTCTATCTCACCATTTACCTAGTTGCTCTAAGGGCAGAAAATGGATGTGGATGGGCAACTGGAGGCTTGTCTCCCTCTTTGGTCCCCTCCCACCCCAAAATGGAAGCAAGCATGTTACTTATGACTCTACTTTTGAACTTGGAGTTCTACTCATGTGGATTGACACAAGGCTCCCAGTAAATACAGGATGACTTTTCCTCTCTTAGAGAAGGCCTGACTCATGGAAAGCTCAGAACAACTATGCGAATATGATTTTTTACAAAATTTAATGGAAACATTTTTTCAATTTTCTCTTTGGATAAAAATAAAAAAATTGTTTTTCCACTGTTTGAGCACATTCTTTTCCCTCTAGTGAAAGCCCTTATGCATTGAGAGCTAGGAGTGGGAAATGCAGGAGGATGCTAAAATGCCAGCATCATATCTGCAGGACCTGCATATTTTCCAAGGAAAGAACATTGAAGAGAGTCAAAGTATACAGAGGC